AATAGCCAGTGTTCACATTTTTTAGATAGCTCATGAATGACATAGCTATTTGTCCTGTCCTTTATCAGAAAGCTTATTTGAATCAGGATGTAAGAATCCACACTTTGCAATCGGTTGTTATGTCCCTTAGTTCCTTTCAGCTTCTGGGTTTCTCCTTCAGTTTTATTTTTTCCTTGCAATTGATTTGTTGAAGAAATTGCGCCCTGTACTGTTTCCCCATAGTTTGGATTTTGCTGATTATATGCATGTGGGTGTTACTTAGTATGTTCTTTATCACAGTCTGTATATAGGGAACTGTATACAGGGAAATACAGTTTCCTGTATTTCCTATAATTGATACATTAGATCTAGGTTCCATTTTCCTGGCAAAACTTCTCCATAGGTGATAATGTATTCTTCTATTAGGATGCATAATGCATGGTTATCATGTGATACTAGTAGCCATTAGTGGTCCATGCCTAAATCCTCTAGGAGTTGAAAAAACCAATAATTTTCTAATAAAATTCAGTTGTTCCTACTTCATTAAAAAAAAAGATTTATTTATGCATACAGAACTGGGGAACAGGCCAGAGGTGCAGTGGGTGAGAGGATTCACCAGAGACAGAATAGAGAGCAGAACAGATATATCTCGTGAAATACACTGCTGAGGGAGCAGGTCTGCCTCTCCATGTGGGTCCCCTTCATGACTGGGACCAAACTCGTGCTGCAGTGGCTATGATAGCTTCATAGTGCTGTGCTCCATCTAGTTGCGACACCAGGGAGGAACTCCTACTTCATTTTTAAAAACTGAAATACTTCTATAAAGAGAAATTTCATCTCATCTACTATTTGGAAACTTGTCTGTAATTGGTGTTATTTTATCATGGAAGGGAACATTAAGACACTGGGAGGTTTGATGAATCATTTTCTTTTTTTTTTTTTTTTAAAGATGTATTTATTTATGCTTACAGAACTTGGGTACAGGGCAGAGTTGTGGTGGATGAGAGGATTTACCAGAGATAGAGTGGGCAGCAGAACAGGCAGACTGACAAAGAAGAGGTCTGCCATGCCATGTGGGTCAGCTCCCTGGCCTGGGATCTAACTCATGCTGTAGTGGCTTCAGACAGCTTCATAATGTGGTGCTTTAACCCATTGCGCTACCAGGGAGAGCCTTGAATCATTTTCTTTAAGGTAGAAACTCTCACACTAAGGGAAAAGAGGGGGAAAAATATGAGTAGATGGTACCTCAGATGTCTAGGAAGGAAGTAAAGAAGAAACACAGATGCTTAAAGGTAACACTTTGCTAAGCCTATTCTTATCTGGCATTTAATTCCTATTAGGGAACCTATCTTATGGTTTTAGATACTATTTATCTACTGAGGACTTCTGCATTCACACCTTTAGTTCAGCTCTGCACAGTTGTCAAAATTCTGACATCATTACTTTGATGTCTAAAGGACATCTCAAAGTTAATATATATAAAATGGAAATTTTAACTAAATCCCCCAAATGTACCTTATACCTTCCCTATTTCAATAAATGGTAGCACCATCCAACAATCACTAACACCAAAAAAATAATAAATAAAAAATAGGAGTAATTTTTATTTTTAAGATTCATTTATTTATGCATACAGAAATGGAGTACATGATAGAGGTTTGGGGGGCTGTGAGAGAAGTCACCAGAGACAGAGTGGGGAGCAGAACAGGCAAATCTATGAAGTACACTGCTGAGTGGGCGACACAGGAGAGGTCTGCTACGCCATGTGGGTCACCTCCAGGGCCAGAGATGGAACTCATACAGAGGCAGCTGCGGCCAGCTTGCAGTGCTGTGTCCTCACCTGTTGTGTCATTAGGTAGGGCCCAGGAGTAATTTTTAACTCCTTCCTTTGCCCAACTCCCATAATTAATCATTAAGTGCTGTTGATTTTACTTTGAGATTATTAACTTATTCTTTCTGTTATTCATAACACTGCCTTAAACCAAATCACAGCTGTTGAGAAACAATTGGTCTAAATACAATACAAATACCTTCTGGTTTCCCTTCTATGTGTTGACTTTCCTAATACATTCTCCATAAGGGAGAATGTTCTTTCAAAATGTTAATCATGGATCATGAACTGGTAACTGTTGAAGCTATATTATGGGTTCATTGTACTCATTTCTGCCCTTTTGTATATGTTCCAAATTAAAAAATAAATTGTCAATCATATTATTTTGTTCTTTTATTTTGATTATTTTACTTCTCTGCTAACTTCTTGATGTTCTTAGAATAAAACTTAAATGCCTTGCCTAAGTCTGTGAGCCCCAGCCTACCTCTTGTCCAACTTTATCGATGCTATTTTTTTTGTTGTTGTTCATTCTCTTTAGGACATATCTTATCAGTTCTGAGAGTACTTTAAGCTCAAAATTTTTCATTGTTATTCCCTCTACTAGAAAACACTCATCTCCTAGCTCTTTCCAAGACTGGCTCCTTCTCTCAGGTGTCCCTGGAAAACCACCATCATAGTGAGATCTCTCTTAACTGTTTATTCCACAGCAGTTATCACATTTAAAATTATTTTTAAATTTATATTTATACAAATATACATATTTATTTTGACAAGAAAGTCATTTGAACATTAAAAATATTTGAAAGCATCTATCCACTCACATTCTCTCCTATTCATGTTATAATTCTAATTTTTGGAAAAATCAGTGGATAGAATACAAATTTAATAATCTTGCTTTATAAATAAAGGTTATAAGATTTTGATCAGGAGAGTAATTTGAAATTTTAATTTTAGGAAGAGCATGCTATGAAATGTGAATTGGTGAAGGAGGAATTAAATTAGAAATATATATTTGAATTTGCCTTCTATTTGATTCTGAAATTCCCAATGTTTATGATATGTTGTATATGACAAGCATTGTTTGGTTTACATTATTTACTTAGTGGAAGAACTGGGGTGTGAGAGGACCCACCAGAGACAGAGTGGGGAGCAGAGAAGGCAGACCCACTTAAATACACTGCTGACAGGAGCAGCTGGCGAGACAGGAGAAGTCCTATGTGGCATATGTGGGCCAGTTCCCTGGCCAGGTCGAACTCAGGTGACAGTGGTGATAGCAGTGAGACTCAAACCCCTGGCCACCCAGGAGGAGCTGATTTAAATATTTAAGTTTTGAAAATACATTCTATATTATTAACTTGATACCTCTCAGCTTAAAAGAGCAATATATTCAAGTTTTATTAGCTAGGAAGAATTCAGCAGATATTTTTGCAGGTTCTCTTGTCTGCTAATCTTTGATCCTGATTCTACAGTCTAAGATTCATCTAAACTGTCAGATCAAAAGCAAGTCTCCCAAGTCAGCCTAAAAATCGAGAGCAGGTGGGAATTCCCAGTTATTTGAAGGAAGCCATACGCAGGGCAATTTTAGAACTGGAAGCAGTATTAGAGATCATGTGCTAATCAAGGCCTTCATTTTATTTTATTTATTTTTTTTAAAGATTTATTTATTTATTCATACAGAACTGGGGTACAGTCCAGAGATGCGGAGGGTGAGAGGATTCACCAGGGACAGAGTGGGGAGCAGAACAGAAAGATGTTGTGAAATGTACTGCGGAGGGGAGCAACAGGTGAGACAAGAGAGGTCTGCTGTGACCTGTGGGTCAGCTTCCTCCCTGGCTGGGGATTCAACTCTTGCTGCAGTGGCTCCAGAAAGTTTCCTAGTGCCAAGACTTAACCCCTTGAGCCACCAGAAAGGCCCCCAACGCCCTAGTTTTAAATGAGGTGAAAAAGGTATGCTAACAGGTTAACTGATATACTCACCCCCAACATAATTTCCTAATCTGGTAATGCAAGTGTTACTCTGAGACAATTAAGGAATTGTGATTCCTTAAGTATATGGAGATCTAGAACACAGGAGTTTTGTTTCATAAATCCCTTATTTTCAGTATATTAAGACATCTCTGTCTCCAGTCCTTTGAATCTTCAAGTCTCTGAAATTATGCTAGTGGCCTCTGCTGTTCCTGGAAGAGCCTCAAGATTCCAATATTTTCTTCTATTAGAGAAGGCTTGATTTACCAAGATGCCAAACTAACAGTGCGTAAACACAAACGAATAATTTCATATTTTCGTCTCCTTCAAGTCTATTAGCCCAAGGTGGGTCAAGAACTGCACTTAGTTGAAGCATAGTTCAAATTCTTTGAAAATTTACTTGTAGATTCGTGGCTGTTGTGAGTAAAGAATAAGGTCCTATCTTGTGCAAAATAAAAATAAATGGGTAACCAAATTGATAATGCTGTGGTGGGATGGTCATCAGTGTTGACCCAGATTAAGCAAAGTAGAAGTCGGTTATAACCATTGGGCACTCTGATGCACAAAACATTGTAGAAACCAGAAATGACCCAGTGCCTCGCAAGGGCTTATATTTTAGAGTCAAGGAGCCCAGGGCAAAGCTTACCAACCTATTTAAGAATTCTCCCCAAATATGCCCGTGTCACCACGGTTTTCTCAGCTGCTGACAGCCTAGCGTGCCTGTATAGCGACAACCCTGATCATCTCCTAGTTCAAGGTTTTAAAATTTGCCCGTAAAACAACAAGGAACTTGAAAATCCACCTAGTGTGTTCTCTCTGAGAGCCAAAGCACAGCTAAACCATTCCAAGCCGATGAAACGAACTCCCTTCTGTTTCCCATGCTAGCAAAGAGATTCCAGATCCTTTCATCATCGTGCGCTGAGCAATCACCGTGGGCAGAACGCTGGTGGCAATTCCGGGGGAAGCTGAAGCCCAGCTAAGCATATCGCAACGCTGAGCCTCCACCCCGAAGCGGGTGGACAAGTCTCCACCGGGCCAGTCGCTCCAGGTGACTCGTCGGGCTTCCAGCCGCCTGGAGCTGCAGGGGGTGTTCCGAACTAGGGGCTCCGGGTGCGCGCTGCTCTCGCGAGAGCTCGAGCGTTCGCGGACCGGGATCGCGGAGAGTGGGCAGCCCCTGCGCGTGGCGGCGGGAGCGGCGGCGGCGATCCTCCCTGGGGCCGGCGGGCGCTCTTTCCCCGCCTTCCTCTTCTTCCCCTCCCCGTGAGCGATTCCAGTTGTGCGCTTCCCACTTCCGCCCCCTCTGCCTCCCTGTGGAACTAGCAAAGCTGAACAAGTTGCGGCCGCCCCACCGCCGCCGCTCCCCTCACGGCCGCCTCCGGGTCGCCTCCTGCTCACCATCGCTTCCTCACGCCGTTCTTTTTCTTCCCTGGCCGCCGCCGTCCCGAGGCCTCCGCCAGCCCCGCAGCCCACGCCGCGGCCGACATGAGCTTCTTGTTGTGAGTAGCCAGGCCCCGCGCGCTCCGGCTTTGTTCGCGTGATCTGGGCCGCAGGTCCCCGCCCGTCTTACCCCGGCCGCCCGGCCGGGCGCTCCCTCGGAGCAGGTCTCCGGGCCTGCCCGCCGCCCCGGCCGGCTTCGAGCACGCGTGCGATCGTCCCTAAGCCGCCCTGGCAGCTCTTCCCGTAGCCCAAGTCTGGCACACCCCGGTGCTGCTGTCGGCGTCTCCTGCACCCCAGTGCCAGCCTTTCCCTGCTCCTCTCGGGGTGGTTTGCCTGCTTTTCGTGGATACCTCCCACTCTGGCATTATCGGGGTCCGACGCGTGCCGGTGTTGCCTGTCTCCCCGATTGCCTGCTTATGGCTTTTTGCGGGGGGTTTCCCAAGCGCAGACGGTGGAGCGCCGTACTTTCCCCTGTCATCACCGGACCTTTAACTTCTGCCCTGTTATTGGGATTGATTCCCTGTTAATGGGGACTTGGGGATGGGGTGTGTGTGCGAGACAAGTCCTGAGGCTACAACATCGCAGCGAAGCAAGAGCTGCTTGCGGCTCTGGATTCTCTGGTGGCAGATTTGAGTCTTGGGGTTTGGAGCAGCTTCTGGCTTTCTTTTCAGCATGCTGCCCCCTGAAGGGTACCGGCTTTATCTTTTTAGACTACCACCAAATAGGGCTTGGAGTGTGCGCTTGGCTGATTACCTACTCTGGGGAGGTGATTTGCAAATCGCTCATGAAAGCAAACTTTAGCGTCATATTTAATGTTGATCATTATTGCACTTATCTTTTATTGCAGACGAGTTTTTTGGGGAAGGGCAGCAAGATGGGATAGCGCAAGGGGTATGGTGGCATTAGATAAGATTCTGGTCATGGGGTGAGGGGGGCTGACAAAAACAAACCGAAACTGGGGAATTCCATTGTGGAAGGCTCCCTTGTGCTTCACCTGTGTTTTTACTCTAGTTAGAAAACTAGTAAGAACTAGTATTGAAACCCACTTCATATACTTCTTTAGTGTTGCTGAAGAAATAGTGTTTAAAAATTTTTGTTCAGATTTCTTTTCCTAGCTTTTGTAATTTTTATTTCTAACATTGGCACCGGAATCCTAGAATTTAATTAGCCCTTATTTTGACATGTTCAGTTTTCGAGTGTTTATTTATTTTTTTTAGCGTATTTAAGCAAAACTGAGCCATCGCAGAAAACTGCTCTTCCTGATTATTTCTTGTATGTATCGGGCTAGTGTCAAGGTAACACGTTTGAGCTTGTGTTCTTATTCTTAGGCTCATGTTAGACGCCGTTTCTGAGTTTGTTAGATTATGCTAGATGAGAGGGCTCCATGACTTCATAAAAGCCTTTTTCCCCATATTATGTTTGTTTGAATCTACATATCCAAACATCTCAACTGAAAGTTTCTCATTAATATTGCTAATGTTTGATTTCTTCAGTAATTTAAAAGCTGTCTTTGATGATCATGACTGCTGCTGGTGGACTTATTGTCTCTCTTGGAACTCATAAACTAAGTTGTCTGAAGTAGTTACGAACATATTTGACAGAAACTAGAGACACAGGAGGTTTCGATGGTATTTTCTGAAAACAATAGCATATTTTACATTGCTCAATATTTGATAGAAATTTAATAGAGAAATGCAGTGGGTAAGTGCAATGAATAATTTCTCCTGAAAAATACTGGCCAAATAAGAAAAATCTCATTTTAAGTAACATACTGTATTTAGCACTTTAAATAAAGTTTCCACTATTTGTGACACACTTTTCCCATCTGGTCACATGTAGCAGTTAATATATTCTCAACATATTTAGCCCATGTGCTTGACAATCTAAAAAAAGTTAATCCAATTTTTTTATTTTAATCTTTGTTCACCAGTGTTTTAAATCTGAAGCGAAGACCATATAGAAATGGTTATTATTGAAGTAAAAGAACAAAGTTTTGATTGTTTTTGGTATGATTTCCTGAATATTATTTCTGTCCCAGTGGATGAGCAGAGAAAATAACAATTGCAGTACATGAGTTAAATATGAATATTTTCCTCCAGGTCTTGGAAGTTTACTTAGAAGGCCTCTGTAAGTGGGTGGAGCAAGGGGCCAAAAACAATTAAGATAGGGTTATGAAGCTGATGACTCATATGCTTGAAGATTGCCAGATAAAAGGAAAGATTATTTATTTAAAAAGCCATTCACTGGCACATCTTAAAACAACTAGCAACAACAAATGTTGGCAAGGATGTGGAGAAAAAGGAACTCTCCTGCATTGCTAGTGGGATTGCAAACTAGTACAACCACTATGGAAAACTGTTTGGAGGTTCCTCAAACTGCTAAACATGGAGCTCCATTATGACCCAGCAACTCCACTCCTAGGTATCTACCCAAAAGACACAAAAACACTGATTCAAAAAGACACCTACACCCCCATGTTTATTGGTGTTTTATTTACAATAGGAAAGACATGGAATAACCCAAATGCCAAAAGTAGATGACTGGTTTAAAAAGATGTACATATACACAATAGAGTATTACTCAGCAACCGAAAAAGATAAACAGCAGCATGGATGGAGCTGGAAGGGATCATGCTTAGTGAAATAAGCCAGAAAGAAAAGGAAAAATACCGGATGGTTTCCACTCATAGCAGGAGCATAAAGGACTGGGGACTGTGGGGGAGGGGGGGCGGCGGATAATAATGTGCAACTATATACCAGGGACATCTTACAGGGGTGGAGTGGGGAATGGTATCAAAAAATGGGAGGAGGAAGTACATAGGACTATGGTGTTGGCACACGGATGAATTGGTGATGGAAGTCCATGGGGATTACAACTGAGATGGAAAAAGGCACAAAATGATGTAAAAATAAACTATTATAATAAATTAAGAAAAAAGCCATTCACTGTGCCAAGCATTGGTACAGGCATTGTGTATCTCATATGAACAAAACACATAATTCCTGCATTCTTGGAGCTTATGTTGTCCTGGTAAACAATCAAAAACACTAAACATCAGTAAATTATACAGTGTGGTAGGAGTTCCTACATGGAACAAAGTAGAGCAGGATAAAGAGGTTTTTGGATGTGAAGTTGAGGTTGATTATGTAATCCCCAGAGGGTACCCAGATAATCTGCACCAGTGATACCTTTGTGTAGCTTTTGTACAAGTGCTCAGAATAAATTTGCACACTATATGAGCATCTGTCTGGGACGTTGTTTTGGGGACATAGTTTTGTTTGTGCTGTGGTTGACTTTCTGTATCTTTAAATTAAACTTCCAGCTAGTTCATACAGAAACTTCACAGGAACCTACTGTAACTTTGTAGACTGTAATCTTTAAACACATCCTCAGCACCTGCTTTGTGCCAGGCATTGTGCAAGATGTGGGATTTCAGAGATGGTAGACAGATTAAAAACAGTCATCTATAATAGATGTAGTACAATCAGAGCATCAAAGAATATGAAGCAATTTGTTCTATTTGGGATGAAGGAAGGTTTCATGAAAGAAGTGAGTGCTAGTTAATGGAGGATGAACAAGAATTCTCAAAAAGGTTAAGTGGACTTGGGGATTGTAGTCAGAAAAAAATATCTTGATGTCATGAAATTGCCAGTGAAGTGTCCATTTTGAAGTTTATACAATAGGAGGTAGACTTTTGCAGTTAGATGATGCTTTCAGTGACATAATTCATAATTTACTCACTTCTTTTTTTCACCAGAGTGGCAAAACCATTAAACTTAAATGTTTACTTACTAGTTACTAGTTAGTTTATTAACCTAGTTATTGGCTTGGGTAGAATGGGAACAGAAATCTCTCGATTTAAAAATTTGCCTTTGCTGTTGTAGAAACAGAATTCAGGGATATTTACAATCAGAGTGAGTTGAGTACTTTTTATGTTTTTAGCATTTTAAAATACAAGTCTTTCAGACTGATGGAAATCTGGAAATATTTGATTTGGAGAAACCAAGCTTTTCTTTCTTTCTTTCTTTCTTTCTTTCTTTCTTTCTTTCTTTCTTTCTTTCTTTCTTTCTTTCTTTCTTTCTTTCTTTCTTTCTTTCTTTCT